TATGAACCAATTGTATTATAACATTTTCAACATTTGGAATACGCACCCAAGTCAATAGACAATTTGGTGTCGACGATTTAAAAACGTCTGCTTGAAAACCCCGCCGACATGTCAAAAAACATGAAGTAACACTTCTTTTCTAAATTATTTTCAGCTGAGGTACTGACATCATTCGCATATCAGTGCCGCGGCGCCGACGACCGCCTTCGCATCCAGTGCAAGACAAGCGTTGCCAAACGATGCCAAAACCTCCGCAAGAACAGGCCAAACTAGGATCGATGCCATTTGTTTCGTTTTTGCTCATTAGTTTCTGTATTTACTGTAATTAGTCAATGAATAAAGGCAGAGAAGTATTTGTAACTGACTTTTGGGATTCAACATCGAATTTAGCGAATTTAGCGTCGGAATAAGCGTGATGCAACTTACATCGGATTTATTTGTCTCTGCAAGGAAAATAAAAAAGATCATTCGAACAATGGGGAAGGTTTTCGTCAGGGTGGAATTAGAATAAGGGTACCAAACGGTGCTAGGTCTCTCTTGCCTGCAAAGTAAGCTTTTGAATCCTCTTTCATATTACTATCCAAACTTCCCACGTTAATTACGGAATTCAAATTTGTTCATGTGTGAACGTAATCTGCGAAAACTAAAAGAAACATTCGGATACCATATCGGCCAAAAACGTGTGTGCTGTTCATTGAAGTCAAAAGCGATGCAGAAAATTTACTATTACAAAAGCATCTGATGACAATGATCAGAACAATCTTATGTTTTGTCTTTTCTGATATAAAACCAAACTTAAAGTCTTTATTCTTGGTAAGTTAAGCGATTATTTCTCATCGTTTGTATTCGTGACTTTAAAACTTCAGCCGAGGACCTGTCGTGTATTTTGTGAACGTTATTTGAATGATAGATCGCGAAAATCGCATGGTAAACGATTAAGTCTGTCCAGCGCGAAATTTCGAGCAGTAGGCAATAAACCGACGCTTTTTATCGCGAAATTTCGCCGAACTTACGTTTCGAAGCGAAAATTCGACGAAATGGCGCTCTTTGTTCAACGGGCAATCCTCTGCCTTTGACCTCCTACAACAAAAATATCAGTGAAAGGTCTATTTTATAAATAATCATATAGTTTGTGGCAATTGGTCGATTCTAAGTTTCTGAATTCAATGTAATAATTGCTGCAATGCATTTACTTTTATTAAAGGCTGGTAATACTATTAATTAACAATTCGTTCATATGTCAGCGTGTGTTCATCGAGATATGAAGCATACGGGAAGTTTGGAGAGCACGAAAGATGCGTAAGAGTTGCTCGAGGCATGGCCGAGAGCAACTTTAGCTTCTTGAGTGCTCTCCAAACTTCCTAAGTGCTTCATATCTCGATGAACGCACAGCTGATGTATGAACCAACTGTTTTAAAACATTTTCAACCCGATGGAAAGTTTTCTTTCTCGAGGAATTTGTTTGCTGGTTTCTAGCTTCTTGATAATTTCGCCGAACTTTCGCTTCGAAGCGAAAATTCGACGAAATAGCGCTCTTTGTTCATCAGAAAATTCGCTCAAAAAGCCTCGAATTGTCATTCGAACTTTCGCACGAAATTTCGAAGAAAGTTCGCGAGAAAAAAAGACGAAATTCGGGCATTTCGCTTGCGTTACTTTTGCACAATACTGTGGTCGATTTCTCACAAAGTTGAATAAATTCATGTCACTATCTTAAGAACTACGAAAAATTAGTCTACACTGTCCAAGCTGAAGGAGACTTGTGTCCGAACCTGTGGCAGAAGTCGATGCGTTATATCAGTCATATCTAAATTGAAATGTCGGAGAACCTGGAAAAGAAAATATTCTTCAGAGAGAAATGACGCCCCAACGCAACCACCTCCCCAACGTTGTTCTTTTCCTTCCCGATCACTTACGCTGTCAGTAAACTGTGATAGGGCGTGCCTTTTTTGGCGGATGCGCAATAAAGTAGCAGAGCACGAATCGGCGGCAAGTATTTACCACCATTTACTGTTTCGCTCTGTGCCTGAAACAGGCTTAGAAACGCTTTAAACATAGTACATGTATTCAGTTAGCTAGTTAGTCAGAAACATTCAATTGCTTTATTGAGATTTCCTAACCCATACCATATCTGTTGTTTTGCTACTTCTAGAGGAAAAAAGTCTCTTAACGTGCCACCAATAAAATATTACTTTCAACTCTTTTTAGCCATTTTCCATTTCCGTTGCCCCCATTCGCTTAAAAATTCGCTTAAAAATTAGTTCTGGTAGATCGAGTGCACTTGCCCTAAGCGATGACCTGTTCACCCGAGCACCAAATCGGAGATCCTGTCTACGTCAGGTCGTTTACTTCGGCGAATTAATCTGTAATACTTCTTCAAGTTTCTACCAATTATGGAGAAAAGTCTTATGATTGCCTCGGCTAGCGCGCTAGGTGCTTCTGCTCTGACGTTACTGGCTTGTCGTTATCTTTCCAATAGATGCGAAGCGCACGATAACGTGTATGAGACAGAAAAATTTTTCGGGGAATATCTTATTTTCCACTTTGGCAAACCAGATGAACTGTTACCATATGGCTTTGGTCCTCATGACTCTCTTGATTTTCCCAAGCGATGTGCATTGGAGTGTATTAAACATATTGGGGTGAGTTAACAATCGTAAATTTTTCACTGTACAAGTAAAGAATATGCTAATGAACGTAAATTTTAATTCTATTCCGCAATAATTTGCACGGAATTTCGAATATAAAGTTTAAGGTATGTCAAAGTAATTTGAATTCTGGCCACTGCACGTAGATGAACTCCTTATTTCCACACTGTAGAATTAAGTGTTTCTCATGTACGGATGGTCCTCTTACAACCTCAGCTTTGGAGGAAAAGACCATAACATCTGACTAAATTTGAATTCTTTCTTTATTGTATGTTCGCTAAAAAGTGATTAAACTATTAAATCTCGATCTCTTTAGGATAATGTGCCGAGCATTGCTCTCGACATAGGATGTGCTGTTGGTCGATCTTCATTTGAATTAGCCAAGAGGTTTGATCAAGTTGTAGGAATTGATTTTTCCCATGGTTTTATTAATGCCTGCAATCAACTCAAGACTTATGGAAGATTGGAGTACTCTGTCCAAACTGAAGGAAGTCTTGTGTCTAAACATGTTGCTGAGGTTGATCTTGACATTGTAAGTAAGTCACATTGTACAATGTTTGTCTCAGTGGGGTTACAAGTGAGAAAAGTCATCTCAACAATGTAGGTGTTTCTACTTTGTATTAGCTGGGGAAATACTAAGATATGATATTGACCAATCATAAGATCTGATTGGCTGGATGTTAGTGAAATGATCATTTTACACATAGTACTTAATTTATTTCATTTTAATTTTTTTGTATTGGCACAGCATTGTTGTTGTTTTTTTTTAGAAGGCGATCAGGGGGGAATGGGGTATAGGAAACGTTAAACTTTGAAAATTTTCAGTAGGTAGCACTTAGGAACCTTTTTCCAGAATGTGCACTTGTCCCTTAAAAGTAGGTTCCTTAACCCTTTGATACCAAGAGTGACAAGCATCTAATTTTTCATTACAATATCACCCATGAATAACACATCATAATCATAAGAATAAAGGAATTGATCACCAACTAAAGAAGCTCTCGATTATGAGGCAAAGTCTCACATCAGCACCTTTGGAAATGTATGGAGAACAGTAAGGAGAATATGCATACTGATGTTAGGATATAAAGGGTTAGATAAAGTTGGTAGATGCAAAGGTCACAGGAGCATATTTACCAGCTAGTATCAAAGTGATAATTTGTGTTTGTCTTGCTTATTTTCCAAGGAGTAGTTGTGATGTATGTGGTGTGTGACATTAGCTACAACTTTGTATCTTTTTTT